TGAATCGTGGATTATCTTTTACTACAATGCTATTTTTAAGGAGAATTTAAAAGCACTTCCTTGAAGGGGAAATTCACCAATTTAGTATTGCAATTTGACAAAGTAAGGAGACTTGAAGTTCTTGCTTTCAGGCTCATACATTTCCTGTGATGCTAATTTCTCTCAATACATTTTAACCAGACCTCTTTGGCCACCTAAGTGCTCCAGGCATGAGCATCCAGGCTTTATGTTCTAGTCTTTCTCATTTTTCCCCTTTTTCTTTTTTAGCTCTTTTTCCCTGCATGTCAGTTCTGGCATTGCCATATTACACATGCACTTCTGTGAATAACAAGAGAAAATAATAAATAAGAAAATAAAATGTGGCACTCCTGGTGACAAATAAACCAGTTTTTGTACAGTAAAGTCCCTCTTTAAGAACTGTTTTTTTTTTTTAAATTATTATTATTATTATCATTTTAAAGGACCTTCTGGAGATTATTACATATAGGTTATCCAGCTGCTGTTACATTTAAAACTGCAACTGTTACTACTATGGTTGATGTTAATGTAGCATTTGTTACTACAAGCATGATTCTGTCAACCCTTTGGAACAAATTATATTGATAGTATTAAATAATTAGATTACAAATTATACATCCAAATACAGTTAAATAAAACAAAGACTTTAAGAAGGTAACACAGGCTTATGCTAAATACTGAACAAGTGGCAACCCTGAGGGCTGCAAAGTGGGGTGTAGCGCAGGTGGTAGAGCAGGTCATCTACTGATCGTAAGATTGGTGGTTCGATTCCTGGCTTTCCCTAGTCTACGTGCCAAATATCCTTGGGCAAGATTGCTCTCCAATGCATCCATCGGAGTATGAATGTGTGTGAATGCTACTTAGAAAGCACTTAGAACAATGTGAATGGGTGAATGCACAAGTTGTGTAAAGCGCTTTGAGTGCTCAGAAGAGTAGAAAAGCGCTATATAAGAACCAGTCCATTTACCAAAGTGAAGCCAGTGCCAAAAACTGCTGTTCTTCTAGTGACCACATGGGGCTGGCTCCAATAGTGAATTGGTCAACTCCCATGTTAAAATGTCCACTTTTGTATCATTAAGAAAGCATTTTTTTAAAAACATTATAACGTGTTTAAAATAGCAGGTTTAGGCCCTGGGATGTGCCACTATAAGCAGCTGTTACCGTCACTTATGTGAAACATTCAACTCGACCTCTCAGCCATATTTGCACCATGTTGGTGCCTTATGGAACTTTTTTAATTGAACTACCAGGCAAATAATATGT